TGCGTTCTACATAGTCTTCCTGACCACAAGACCAAGTTGCGACAACGAGGTCAACCCACTTCTATAAATCTAAAGGAGACTGCGACCATAAAAGAGGCCACAACATCTTGGTCTTTATATATTTAATAAGATTTTAGGTTAATAAATGGCTAAGGCTCAAAACTCAAAGGACTTATCGAAGGAATGATTGTAAAGAGGCTAATATAATAGACGGGAAAATTTCTGTACTTTTGTCAATTACCGCAGATGAGTCAATTATGATTTGCCCTCTGAAGGCATTTTTCACTTAAGAATTAACTCTATAATCTAATTTATGAAGACCAAGGTTTGGTGTTTAGTATGGTTACGATCTCCTTTCGTAGTATAGAAATTGTTTGACCCGGATTTCACTACTTGGTCATATTTTCAGTTGGACCTAGAGGAGTGCATCTTGTCCTGAGTACATAGCATGCATGATAATTTCCAATCGCAACTTGGACTTGGTTTATTCCCAGACTTTTGGCCGGCATCGTCAGTGCACATTACCATTCTTAGCACAACACAACAACTTGTCAAAATGACAAATAAATTCAATCCTTTGATCAATTTTCTACTATACAGTTATGGTATGCCTCCTGTTCTGGCACATTAACCTACATGATATACTCGTAACAACCATTCACTTTCACTATTTCTTACTTGCTTATATAAATCTACTCTACTTATATCATTGCTAAAAAATTCTACTACCAGCCCTTCATTAACTTAAACGAAATTGGGTGAATACACCTCATATTACTGCTTCACTGGTAGTCTCGAAACTCTACATAAATACGAAAAATATATATAATTGAGGTGTGCTCCTTTGACCGGATTTAATAGACATATTCACACTCTCTAATAGTTACCTCAACCACCCCCTCTACTCTGCTGTCAGTGTTGATCTAAGACGTTAGTTTACTTCGCAATCCCCTTCTTCCAGATCCTATCAATCTCCCTCTTGCTCCATAAGATCCGTCTCCTATCGCCCTAGTTCAGTAATCTCACTCGATCGCTGCCAGCATATCTGTGCTACTCGAGTAGTTATGTTCTGCAATCTGCTCCAAGTCTTTACTAGCAGGCATACGCCAGCCTCACTAAGCAAGCCCTAAAAGTCTGGTTTCTCAAATAGCATGGAAACCTAACTTGATGCAGATTATCACTGTTTGGCATGTGCACCGAGTAAATATCGTGATCAAGCCTTTAGACTACCTCTATGATCAAACTCATCTACTAATAGCCAACTATATATGTTATCCTCCGCATCTCTCGCTCTTCTATCCAGAATTCTAGGTATATGACTTTCCTATGCCCTAGTTCTTGTATGCCAAATCCCAGATTTTATAGCTGTTAACCTTACTTACTTACTTTGATTATGCTGAAGAATTAAATGTATATCAAGTGAACGCAAGCAAAAACTCAAACAAACTTTAAGAATAACGTAATTACCGTATCGCTGAAAAATTAAAAGAAGGTAGTTATTTTTTAAAAAGATTTTCATTCGTTAATTACGAATCTACTTTTCTAATGCATAGCTATCTAATATTATTTAATTCAGCCCTTACATTTTTTTAAGCAGATGACAACTTTATGCAACATTTCGCTTCCAAATTCTCCATCATGAAATGATTCCAAGAGGGCTGGGTGCAACATGTGAATACCATGTTGTGTGACTTGATGGAAGGAGGTACTTCTGTTGTGGCTGAGGTTATTCTATTAGGACTCCACCCCCTTTCCATTATAGACGGGATAGAGCAGATTTTATGATAAGGCTATGTATTTGATACAAAAATAGACATTCTTCATAAAATCCTGCCAACAAAGCTGCATTATTTTTTATGCGTAGTTGGTGTCCTAGCCCAGGAAAGAGTGGAATAGTTTTTTAGCACCAGGTTCTTATGTATAATTCGTTTTAGCTTTTATTTTGCCTCGGCCTAGCAAGTGCTCAAATTTTCTCTAAGAGGTTATAACACAATGCTACATCTAGAATATTAACTAATGGAATGCATAAATTGCGTATTGAAGTAGTGAATATTTAATATTGAGGCCTTTATAATATCCCTAAGATAAATGTTCACCAGATTATTCACTTTAATTTGCAAAATAATATCTAAATTCAATCACATTTTATATGATAAAAAAGAAACTATCCTGTTCTTATATAAATAAGGCTAAACAATTAAGAAAATAATCAAAATTTAATCTCATTACTCTTCTTTCTTCCCTACATAACATGAAAAATATTCACTTTTCTTATTTGAACTGGGCTGCGTGAAATTATCAGCGATAAACTAATAAAAAAGCAAGAATTCTATCGGAATTATTTTCAGGGGAACATTGTCTAAAAGAGCATATCGTAAAAACCAAAGAATAAAATCGAGCAAGCAGCCACAAGTAGGGTAACGTGAAATAAGCACTGATAAATCTGTAGTAAAAAGACAGTGATCTATACTTTAAAGGTAGAGCTATGAATATTGCCGATTTCGTCGAAATTGTAATGCCTTGCTACACATTTGTTAATTTAAAGCCTAAATTTTTACCATCAGGATACTTCGTAATATTATACATTCCAACTTGTGAAAATTGATTAAGGACTCCTGTTCGGGTAAGGGGATAATAAAAACAGACGATAATGTATACAAGTTTCGAAGTATCTTTCACATTTAGCTGCGTACAATGGCTTCATCCAAAAGCTCGAAGTTACTCGTCAAGCAAAATTTGCAATAATGGCAATAAAAGGTATATTATGTAGATAGCAGAGTCTGGACCTTATGCTGACTGAGTCAAAGATAGCTGACAAAACACTATAACTCCTGTACTTTTAAACCATAATATAGGCAATGCAGTCAAGTGTGATAAAGAAAATCTGCCCTTTAATCGTAGTATTAACAAAATTAGCTATATACAGGTCAAGCATTTACCAAGGGGGTTCACCTGTGAGATTTATTATATGAAATTAAGGGCTAACGGTGTAGGTGGACTTGGTAGGAAGACTTAGAGGAACGCGCCTAGTCTGGAGTCCATTACATACATAATCATTTAGAAAGTCGGATCGTGGACATAGTACATTCCCAGAAGTTTGGCCGACATCTTAGTCGGCATCGTCATTGAGTCTCGCCATTCTTAGCACCACACAACAACTCGTCAAAGAGACAAGAGAAGCCGATCCTTTGAAAAAACGTGTGCTAAACAGTTGTGGTATCTCTACTTCTGCCCTGGCCTATTCATATTTACTATATCCTCCTATCACACCTTCACTGTTTCAATGTTTTTTTTTCTTTCCGTTGCTTATCTAAATCTAGTGTGGTGTGACCTTATAAGCGGCTTTCATGAGAACCCTTCGTACTCCATGCTGGCGTTCTCACCTCCCTTCACTTTTGTGCTGGAAATGGGGATCAGAGTCTGCTATATGGTTAAGCAGTTCTCTTTCCCTAGGTCTTATTAAAGTCTCCCTCTTGCCCAGTAGAATCTGTCTGCTATCGCCCTGGTGCAAGCATTTCACTCGACTTCTGCCACCCAATCTGTGCTACTCGAGGCGTTATTTTCACACTGCGTCTGAGTGAATAATTCGAGGCTAAAAACCTCTGAGTAAGTCTCATGGTCACGCCTTTGCTACATGGACCACGTATCTGATACAACCTACTGTCAGCCAACTAGCTCCAATCGCAGCCACGTCTATCCTGTTTCTATTCCTAATACCAAGTCTATGACTTCCCATGCCCTAGTCTCTTGTGTACCAACCTACAAATCTTGTGGAACTGCTTGCTTTGATTAGGTTCAATGTTGAACCACAACTTTTGTGGGTTGGCAGGGGAAGTCATAGACTTGGTATTAGGAATAGAAACAGGATAGATGCGGTGGAGACTGGAGCTAGTTGGCTGACAGTAGGTTTTACCATAGACGTGGTCCATGTAGCAAAGGCGTGACCATGAGATTTACTCATAGACTTAAGCCTCGAATTAGTCACCCAGACGCAGTGTGGGAACTAACGCCTCGAGTAGTACAGATGGGGTGGCAAAGTTCGAGTGAAATGCTTGAACCAGGGCGATAGCAGACGGATTCTACTGGGCAAGAGGGAGATTGTGATACGACCTAGGGAAGGATTACGGTGTAACAATATGGCAGATTCTGATCAACATTACCAGCACAAGGGTGAAGGGAGGTGAGAACGCCAGCATGGAGTGCGGAGTGTTCTCATGAAAGCCGCTCAAAAGGTCACAAGGGAAAAAATTGTAACAATGAAGGTGTGATAGGAGGATACATGAAATGTGAATAGGCCATTGCAGAAGGGGAGATACCACAACTGTTTACCCCACGTTTGGTCAAATAATAGGCTTCACTTGTCTCTTTGACGAGTTGTAGTATGGTGCTAAGGATGGCAAAACTCAGTGACGATGACGACTACGATGCCAGCGATACCTCTTGGAATGCACCACTTCCATGGTCCGACTTTGGAAATGATCATGCATACAATGGACTCCGAACTAGACGTCTTCCTCCAAGTCTTCCTACCAATTTGCCCAAGTTACGAAAACAAGGTCAACCAACCTCTATACAGCGAAAGGAGCCTGCGACCACACAAAAGGCCACATCATCTTGGTCTTCATGCCTTGGATAATTGTTTTCTATTTATTCTTGTTAAGTCGGCTGTCGGCGCGTGAAATACTAAATCAAAACTTGAGGGTCTCAATAGTTACGTGCCTAAATAAATTTTCACTGTCAATACATCATCATTTTTTCATATACTGTGCTGGACAGCAATCCCTACCACCAATTAACTACATCTGAGATTAGATTGTAAATAACTTTATCCTTGCCTATATGGTGAGTCGGACATTAAATTGAAGAATGGGCCATCATCTCTATAGAAAAGGATATCTTGTTGAAGGATACTCTCAGTTACTGTGAAAAGCAACGCACAATTATTCTTTACAAACCGATCGAATTTTTATATTAGGAATGTGCTAACATTTTATTGCGAGCTCATTAAGGAGTTAACTTGATATAGCCAGACCGGCGATAACGGCTGAGGAGAAATTTGATGTATTTCAGTGGCATTATGCTACTTCAGAACGTTATATTCATCTGAAATAGAATTTAGTCATTGATATTACTTTGATTGATATGGAATGTGGGATTCATTACGACGTCCAAATATTTGTCACTAACTCTTTTAACAATTATTGGCATAATCGTTTTTTTTTATCTCTTTAATTTTTCTAAGGCTAACGTCACTGGTGAAAATCTGTTCTTTTGAGAGATTCTTTTCACATTAGATCAGCATTGCAAGTATTAGTGACAGACTGGACTGGCCACATCCATAGTATATTTAATTATGTAGCAAGGTCAACTTCAATTCCATGTAGAATATATTTT